TCAATCTGAGCTTTAGGCCATATTAGAAAGCTGCAAAAATCAGCCTTTAGTTACATTTTCCCACACCTTAAGAGTCTTGGTGAGTGTCACGTTGAATGAATGTAAGGTGAGGTTTCATTTCTTTTGTTTGTCAGAAACCACTACTGATTCACGTACAGGACAGGATCATCAGCAGAGAGAAAAGACGTACTGCTTTGTCTTCTGGGTAATCCCAAAATGAAAGTCCCTTGTGATGAAAATGAAAACATTTTAATATATGTACAAAAACATATAAAATACAGAGCCAGGGCATCCGGGGGGATAAATCTTAATAATCCAGTTTATTGCAACATTTTCAAGTACGTTGACATCAGTGCACAAAGAAACCTGTCAAAAGTCTCAAATTCTCATGAATCACTTCAAACCACTTAGAGCTCAAACATCTGGTTGATTGAGGACATCTGTCCTTGTCTGTGTATCCACTTCAAACTTCTTATTATCACCTACAAAGCCCTCCATAACCTGGCTCCCCCACCGGCACACTCCCACCCGCACTCTCAGGTCTGCAGACGCTAACCCCCACCCACCCCTTGCAGGACTAACCTTCGGTCCTAATCCACTGCCGCTCCCACTCCCAAAAAAAACATCAGACACTCCCCCTCACTCTACCCACCGTCCCCAAGTGCTTGTTTTTTTTCTTCTTCAAGATTGTAAAAAAGTGAAGAGAAGGAAGCAGCAAACTTCATTTTTGATGTTCCCTTTTGCGTTCCTTTAATTTCAGAGAGTAGTATTCCTCCTGCAGCTTCAACACTCTCAGTTGCATTTTAATTTTCTCCTTTTTCAATTGCTCGAGGTCCATCGTATCCAGGTGACAGCCGGTCGACGGCACGGGGGTGGACCCTTCCACTCTGGTTTCAGTCAGGATTTCCGGGTCGATGTCTGCCGCAGATGGAGTCTGAGAGTTGCCTGCTTCAGGTCCGCGGTGTCTCTCTGCGTCTTCTTTTCCTCCAGCACTCTGTGTCACGTCTACAGACTCCTCGTCGTCCTCGCGTTTGATGGCCGTGACGGGCATCTGCAAATGTTCACCGTGAGGTGCCGCTGTGTCTGAGGGGTCATCGGGTCTTGAAGGGGGGAACTCTCTCTCCTCTTGGTCGTCCTCGTGCAGTAGATCGCCCCTACGGTCTTCACAACAAAAAACAAGGTTAGTAAAGACAAAAAAAAACAACAACATTTATCTGTCAACACATTACAACACAGAACCCACTGACGTATCTCTGAATTCAAATAATGGATTTAATCCCACTTGTTTAAGTTGGACAGTCATTGCAGGTTCATTACAAACCTCCTGCTGTGTGCTCCATGCAGTCCGACTCGGAAATGCTGTTTATCTGAAACCAGAGCACATTTACAGAATCAGTAGAGCGATATTCAAAGGTACAAAGGGATGTGTTTGAAAAATCATGACAGTAACTCTGAGGGGTTGACTCTGTTTATTAAGGGTAAATGATAAGCGGCACCTGCATGTTTTATATCGGCATGCACTGGTAACTATTTGCATCTGTACATTATTTATGTATAAAGTATGTATCCATAAATAAACTAAATATTTCTGTCAGCATATTATCAGCTTTGACTTTGACTGACTTTTATCTGCAATTATAGATACATAATTATATTAAAATGTTTCAGCAACATACTATCTATTCTTACATGATTGTGTTGATCTTCACTCTTCGCTACATATTTGTTTTGACATTTATGGCATGTATCCATATCTAAACACATATCTCTAACTACATATTCAAATCTGCATGTCCCCATTAATACATTTTTGTATCAGCTTGTATGTGTTACTATAACATTTTATTGACATGCATTTGTAACTACATATTTGCGTCACTGTGTTAGATGCAAAAAATGTGTTAATGTATTAATATATACCTGCATATTTGGGTCAGAATGACACAGCAAATATCTTGAACACCACCATGTATAGGCAGCTATACATATTATTGGCAGCATTTGTAACTACATACTGTATTTGTATCATAAGGAATCAGCAACTATATTTTTATTTTGGCATATCCTGTGTCTGTAACTTCATATTTGTATCGACATATATCCATAACTACATATGTGTATCGAGATATATCAGTAACTACATATTTGTATCATAAAGAATCGGCAATTACATTTTCATATTGGCATATCCTGTGTCTGTAACGTTCAGAGTCGTAGCTACATATTTGGGCATGTGCTAATATTAAAGGCTAATATGTAGCTGTTACCACATGTCTGTATTTGTATCTTTCCACATGTATTGGTCATTTCGTACACCTTCTTACCTCTGGATGTCTTTCAATGATAACTCTTACTTCCATCTGTATTGCTTTCAACCTCTCCCCTGCAAACAAGAGGGACAGTAATGACTCATCTTAAAAAAACTTTTTCTTAATGAGCTGAAAACAAGTTCAGTGACAACATTTGTATAAATATACCTCGCGTTCAAAATCAGATTCATTGTCGTTAGCGGCAACAGCAGGGCCAGTCCTTACCTTCCACTTCTCCATGTGCCGCTCTCGTCAGCTCTTCCCCGTCATCCCCTCCTGAGTCTCCATCAGGCTCCACCTTCTCTTCCTCCTCTTCAAACAGTTCTTCACTGCCACGAGGCCAATCTTCATCTTCAACCTCATCGTCCTCACTGTCCTCTGTGATCTGATTTTCAGACCCTTTGACAGGAACAAAATACGTCCAAGCACAATTTCAAAAAAACAGAACTTGGCATTGCACTCTGCTTACTGTTGCTTCCATCGTGGTTTCATCTGCAGTTGCAGGAAAGACCAACCTTCAGAGGAGCTGTCTTTAGAGTGATTTGATGACGAGGTTTTCGTCTGCAGGAAAAGATAACGCTGCTTTATTTGAAGTCTTTAACACCACATGAACTCGTATTCTCACATCAAGTTACCTTTGCAGTCCTAGTTCCCCTTCTTTTAAATCCCTTTGTGCTTAAGTAACCTAGCTGTGAGAATAGCAAGAAAGCATGTTTATTAAGTAGTTTAATCAGTCTTAAAAAGGAAAAGTAGTCTTGGTAAAAAAAAAAAAAAAAACACCTTACCTCCATCCAGAACTCAAGGGGCCGTTTTTTATAGTAAATACTTGCTTTCCATTTTTTACTCGAGCCTCTCCCGGCAAAGGTTTCAAACTCATGAGGACGGAAACACTGGTCCTCGCACTCGATACACGGCTCGCCTAAACAGAGTGAAAAGCAACAAAAGACAAAAGATACAAGAAGGGAAATCAAATAAAGCAATTAGGAAATAAGAAAAGATGTGTATTGTTCTGTTAGAGTGAAGAAGTGTGCCCCACAAGCTTACCACTCTCGAATTTTTCCACATCCAGGAAGCCCTTTTTCTCTCCACAGTTTACATTCCAGACTTCTAGGTTTTTTTTGCAGAGATGGAGGTGAGAAAGTTGCACACAAGCTTGAACTTTGGCTCGTTCATTAGCAGGACATGACAAGAAATTACCGTGACTGTGTTTTTATGTCTCAGGCATCGTTGTGAAGACATGAAATGAAAAGCAACTTGCCGTACAAATATTGGTAAGACGCTATTGTTTTGTTTTTTTTATCTTTAATGTGGAATATATGTTGTCAAAAATACATTAAAGATATCTTTTAGAGGACAAATGAACACCCACTGTTGTTGTGTGCACTTGGTTGTTGGTTGTGGTTGGAGCCGTCGGACGGGCCTGGTTGCCCGTTGTCTTCCTCATCCTCATCCTCATCTTCATAATAATAATCTTCCTGTTCTACATCAAAATTATATTTGATTCTCTTTCTTTGTCTTTGGCTAACTCTTCTGCCTATAGCTTCTTCCTCGCTTTCTTCCTCTTCTAAGGAATGTCTTGTTCTCATTTTCTTCACCGGTCATCTTTAAAAAAAAAAAATCAAAAACAGAACAACACATGAATAATTAAATGCTGATGTTAATTCTGATCTAAAGAGTTATTGGATTCGAAGCATTTCTTTAGAACCTTTTGCTTTAAACCATCTGGCGTCCTGTCTCTGTTATGCATCGTGTTTTCTTTTTATGTAGGCTTTGTATCTCTTTGTTTTTTTGTTTTTTTAAATGTGCCTGATTTGAGGAGAACAGCATTTCACTCTCATGTATTTCTGAGAGTTGATCATGGAAGAGACAATATATTAAACCTTGGACTTTGTTTTCACCTGGACATATTTGTTTTGGGTACAATCTCTTCTAAAGTCTATTTCTTCTGATTCTGTGTGGGACATAATAAGCAAAACGCTTCATTTACTCTCTTTTTTTTTTTTAAACCTGTTTTTTTTTTTGTTTTTTTTACTTCCTTTGCTGATGTCAGTTATGTATGTTTTTAAATCAAATATTTAAGTCAAATCATTGTAATTTGAGTTTTTACTGAGTTATGGTGTGGCTGCACCTCATCTCTCCTCCTCAACAGTTTGAGTGTGTGTCTGACGGGGGCACACACACACACACACACACACACACACACACACACACACACACACACACACACACACACACACACAACTAGCGCTCATCACCATTATGTGATTAATAATCTGACACCAACAACGAAAAGAAAGGCGAAATGTAAAACATTTTCCAAAGACCATTTAACAACAACGAGTGCCTTTAAGAGGCAGAATCAGATTAATGATGAACAGTCATCTGCTGAAACTGAGTTGAAGATAGACACAGAACAAAAAATAATAGTATAGATTTAAGGCTACAATGTCAGTAGTAGTGGTTAAAGCAGGTATGTGTATCATGTATCATGTGTATGCTCATAAAATCAAGGAAAGTCATATCACACCTCTGAATATGAAAGTCTGATAGGACGTGGAATGAAAACCATGTAAAGAAACTCGTGACTCATGACACTAAACCAATCTTTAGAAGCTTTAACACATAATGTAGCCTATTCATATTCACTGACTGACACACAAAAAAAAAAGAAAACATTACATGTAATCGCGTTTGTTTGTTTTGGCTACAATCACACGGTCTTACCTCCTAACTTCTGCAACAGTCCCGCGATGGAAACGAAACTAAAGTTTGAATTTCAGCCGCTCCCACAAAATGATTTTTCACCCAGTCGTAAAGGAGAGTCTGTTTCGCGACGTTACCACCAGAGGGCGCTGTCTTTAAAGAAATAAGCGCACTGTGAGGAGCCACTGAAGTGACAGACGAAGACAGCGTCACTAATAATAATAATAATAATAATAATACATTGGTTTTCTTTATTTCTAGGAACCCAAAGACGCTTTGACAAAATATAAAACCATAAACGACGAGGACAGTGCAATGAAGAAGTAATGTAGGGGGAGGGGGAGTTAGTGGTTGTAGGCAATGTTGAAGAGGTGAGTTTTGAGGGATTTCTTGAAGGAGGTGAGTGTGGGGGAGTCTCTGATGTTTTTTGGGAGTGAGTTCCAGAGGGTGGGAGCAGCAACAGAGAAAGCCGAAGGACCGAAGGTTGGTCCTGCAAGGGGGGGGAGGGGGGTATCTGCAGACCTGAGAGTGCGGGTGGGAGTGTGTCGGTGCAGGAGGTGAGACAGGTAGGGGGGAGGAGCCAGGTTGTGAAGGGCTTTGAAGGTGATGATGAGGAGCTTGAAGTTGATACGCTGGGGGGATGGGGAGCCAGTGGAGGTCATGAAGGACGGGGGGGTGATGTGGTCTCTGGTGCGGGAGTGTGTGAGGAGACGGGCTGCGGAGTTCTGAATGTATTGGAGTTTCTTGAGTGAGTGTGATGGTGATCCGTAGAGGAGACTGTTGCAATAGTCTATTCTGGAGGTAATGAATGCGTGGGTGAGGGTCTCGGCAGCTGAAAATGAGAGGGATGGGCGGAGGCAGGCGATGTTTTTGAGGTGGAAAAAGGCTGTTTTGGTGATGTGTTTGTCATAGGAGAGGGTTTGGTCCAAGATGACACCAAGGTTATGGATGAGGGGGGAAGGGAGCACTGTAGAGCCATCGATGGTGAGGGAGAAGTTGTTGGTGGATTTGATGAGGGATTTGGGGCCGATGATGATTACTTCTGATTTGTCGCAGTTGAGTTTCAGAAAGTTGGTTTGAAGCCAGGATTTTATTTCAGTGATGCAGTCAGTGAGGATTGAGTGAGTGGCAGGAGTGATGGCTTTGGTGGCAATGTGGAGCTGGATGTCGTCAGCAGAACAGTGAAACTGGAGACCATGGCGGCGGATGATGTGACCAAGGGGGAGCATGTACATGGTAAAGAGGAGGGGACCTAGTACAGAACCTTGGGGAACACCTTGGGAGAGAGGAGCAGTGGGGGATTTGCAGTAGTTGATGCTGATGAACTGGCATCTGTCCGAGAGGTATGATTTGAGCCAGGAGAGTGCAGTGTCGGTGATGTTGAAGGTGGTTTCAAGGCGGGAGAGAAGGATGGAATGGTTGATGGTGTCAAAAGCTGCACTTAGGTCCAGTAGGATGAGGATGTTGAGATTTCTGGCATCAGAGGAGAGGAGAAGGTCGTTTGTGATCTTGAGGAGAGCTGTTTCGGTGCTGTGGTGGGAACGGAAACCAGATTGGAATGATTCATAGAGGTCATTGGCAGAGAGGTGGATTTTAAGTTGAGATGCTAATACTAATACTATTTCATTTTAAATATCACTTTTAAAAATTCTCCTAGTCAAAACGTTATTCTTTCTTTGGTAGTAAAGATATTCCCACGTTGCATTTTTACTATCAACAATTGTATCAACAATAGATATCCACAGCGTCCGTTCCACTTGGTTCATTTACGTCACTTTTTTTTTTCTATGGAGTTCTTCTTAAGATAAACTCCCATTTCAAATACATATAGTGCAGTTGTTGATTGTTATAATTCAGTTAAGAATATTAAATATTTAATTATAGACATCTGGAATAGTTATTTCATTTCATAATGTTTGAAAAATAAAATGAAAGTCAGCTAAATTGAGCAACAACAAAAAATAAAATACAAAAAAGCGTTGTCAAAAATTTGAACTTCTTTCATTCTTTATTTCTCATCATATATAAAGTCACAATATCAAACATCACCAAAAACTTAAAGGATGATAAATCATTCTTTATGTAACTTATTAATAGACAAGACTGACTGATTATAACAGTGCATTATACGTCATATAGGCTATCTTACATGCACATTTAAATGTTTATTCATTATTATTTATTAATTAAATACATTTAATTAAACAATTAATTCTTAATCATAAGAAACAAAAGTCATAAAATAAAATCTACTCGTGTTTTCTGTGCTTTTTTTCTGCATTTCTTGCATTAATGTTGAAGATCTGTTCTAGACTTCAGTAATACATGGCATGACTGATTACTAACGGTGCATTGATATCTCAACTATAATTTTTTCTTGGAAAGCCATGGTATTTCTTCTGAATGAAATGGTAAGCCATTAAAGACGCACCAAATCAAAATAGCTAATACAGCCAATGGCCACATGTTTGGTGCTTGGAGAGCCCAACCACTCAGAAGTAACACCAGGATGGAGCTCAAAATGATCCTTATGTTGGACTTCCTCTTGGTCTCCTTCTCTGCAGCCAGCCTTGAATTGTCCTCTTCTTTCCTCCACAGCGCCCTCTTCTTTATCTCCAGCTCTTTGTCCTTGTGATGCTCCTCCAGCTCTCTCTCCTTGATCCTGATCTCATCATCTCTCTCTGCCAGGATGTCCTCCTGTCTCTTCCTGATCTTCCTCTCTTCTTCAGGATACAGGTCGTTGTGGTAATGCCCCCCTCCATTCAGGGCTACCAGGGTCTGAATCTTTTCTATGAGTCTTGTCACCTGGGTCTGCTCCTCAGGTTTGTTGTTGTTGAAGACACAGAAGCCGCCGCTGCATTTGCGTATGAAGTTGCGGAACTTGTCGTCGCTCTCGGCAACAACGTCTCTTATTGTTTTCCCCTCCAATCGATCCCCATGGGTGAACAGCACGACGGTGTGGTCCCAAACTCTAGGGCCAAACTTTGCCTCGATCAGCATCTGGGTATCTCGATCCTCCTGGGTCATACGTCCTACAGAGACTACAAACACGAAGGCGTGAGGTCCTGGCTCCTGGAGTTTGACACGCTTGAGAATCTCCCGCATTATTTCCTCCTTACGATCTAACTCAAAAAAGCCGGGTGTGTCAATAACAGAGACAGGAACATCCTCAACTTTCCCATTCTCATCCACGGGCACATCCTTGACAGTCCCGTCCCCCTTTTCACAGTGTAGAGTGACTCTCACCACCCTCATGTCTGATTTAAACTCATGTCTCCCAAGGATGGTGTTCCCACTTGAGCTCTTGCCGGCTCCACTCTTCCCAAGAAGCACGATCCTTAGAGGCTCTGTGAATTCAAAGGTAGGAAACATTTTACTTAACACAATGATCTTTCTCTCTTTATTGATGTTCTTAACCTTGACCACCATTGTTCTCATTTCTCATATGTGCTGCTATGACTTCCATTTGGTCAACAAGGTCTACTGCCATCATTGGTGTCATATCGCCTCTTTAAAAACCAATGGGGAGCGTCACTGAGACTACGTTCATGTTTGATACAGTCAATACAAGGGACAAACACACGGTTGGAGGTTGGAGTTGTTTTATAATTCAACCATCACAAGTTGCGCAAGTTGCACCATAAGCAAAGTTATCAGATGTTAAAAAAAGATTAATCTAGAATCAATTTAATGCTAACTGGTAAATCGAAATTGTGGCTGAGTGTTGGGTTTGCAAAATCGAGCCAGTTGTTAACCTAACATAATCATAAGGCATTAAAAAATTTGAATTCAGTGGACAGGATCCAAATAAAAAACTGGAGCACACAGATCACTTAAGGCAAATTTAATATAGGTGCAAAGGACTAACATTTCGATGCCCTGCGTCTTCCTCAGAGTCTGGATTTTTAATCCTAAAAATACATTATACCTTCATTAATGCAATTCTAGTCAATCATTTATACACACATCTGCACAAGTTGCCACATCTGCTCGGGGCCCTGCGTCTGCTAGTGTTACACAATATGATTGACTTTACGTTTGTATAATAGTACATTCTTATTGGCTGTTTGTTGGACAGTTTACGGAGGTTAGGGGGGGGGGGGAAGCAATCCTTACAATGTTACAATTCACTTAGCAGACACTTTTACCCAAAGCGACGTACATCAGAGAGTAAGTACTAATCCATTCATACACCGCCACTGAAGCAGCGGGAGCAATGCAGGGTTAAGTGTCTTGCCCAAGGACATGTCGGACATGTTGCTAAGCTGGGGATTGAACCCTCAACCTTCCGGTTGGGAGGCGACGACTTTTACCAACTGAGCTACAGCTGCCTGTTCATGGTTAGAATGTGTAAACCCATGAAAAAAGTTAAGGTTCTGTTTATTTTGAAAGACTTTTCCACTTGAAGCATCTAAAATCAGAGAGACTAACTCAGAGATTTAGACAATAAATTAACACTTCTTTTCCATAATTACCTTTCTTCTGATCTTCTTGGCCTGCAGCAGGTAGGGTTTCGGCGTCCATGGCAGACATAGATCGAGCTGTTGTGTCACCAAGCAGTCTACTAAATACACAGCGACCGAGTTTGACAGACGTTTCTGTCTGCTGATCAGTCCCCTCCCTGGTGTCCTTTTTTGCTGATGATGTAATGCGAAAGTGAAAGTATATAAAACTGTTTTATGGGGGGTTTGGAACAAATAGATGACCCATTGCTTTACAGTTTAAGGTTTCACAAGTTTGAAGGGCTTGAACAATGTTCTTTCAAAATTGGACCATGATTCCAAATAATGTAATTTAAAGTATGAATATAGAAATACTGTATCTTACTGTGTCAAAAGATTTCTAACTTGGTGGTTGACCTCCTGTACTGAAGTTAAACCACATTTAGAAATCTGACCTTTGGTCAACCACTGATACGTTGGTGAACTATAAAAGGAAATAAAAACTATTTATTAATGTGATTGCATTTCCTTGTACCAGTCCAGGGGTATGAAAACTTCAGCTGTTCAAAAGCTCCATCTAGTGGCAGCACTCGGGAAGTGCCTTAGCACCTCTAGCTACTAGACCAATTTACATATTTTGGTCCGTCCCAGGACTTGATCTGGTGACCCTCCGGTTCCTACAGACAGAGCTATTGCCGCCCCCTCACCTTCATTAAATGTTGGGTTTAATCTGCAGTCTGTCTGTGAAAATAATCGAGTTCAGCTGAATGTTATACAAGTTTACAGTAGTCTTTCTCACACAAATCAAGTGGTCATCATCCAAATGTTTGGTCCGCTGAGGAGGGACCGGAGCAGACTGTGCGTGAATGAGGATGGTGATGTCATGTAACTCAGCCTTCATTGCTTTCTAAACCAGTCAGACAACACCTTATAAATTGAAAGTTGAAGAAGAATGTTTTTTATTAATTTTACTGGTCTTACAAAGTAATGCACTCAATTGTAAAGCTTGTCATAAAAACAGCCCAGTCATTGAGGTTTACAGAAGTGAACAGTTCATATGATTTTAATCATGATCATTTGCATTGAGTTCATGATGACAAAAAACGTTTTTCAGGCTGGTGCATTTCTTACATTAATGTTGTTGAAGATCTGTTCTAGACTTCAGTAATACACGGCATGACTGATTACTAACGGTGCATTGATATCTCAACTATATTTTTTTCTTGGAAAGCCATGGTATTTTTTCTGAATGAAATGGTAAGCCATTAAAGACGCACCAAATCAAAATAGCTAATACAGCCAATGGCCACATGTTTGGTGCTTGGAGAGCCCAACCACTCAGAAGTAACACCAGGATGGAGCTCAAAATGATCTTTATGTTGGACTCCCTCTTGGTCTCCTTCTCTGCAGCCAGCCTTGAACTGTCCTCTTCTTTCCTCCACAGCTCCCTCTTCTTCATCTCCAGCTCTTTGTCCTTGTGATGCTCCTCCAGCTGTCTCTCCTTGCGCCTGATCTCAGCTTCCCTCTCCGCCAGGATGGCCTCCTGTCTCTTCCTGATCTTCCTCTCTTCTTCAGGATACAGGTCGTTGTGGTAATGCCCCCCTCCATTCAGGGCTACCAGGGTCTGAATCTTTTCGATGAGTCTTGTCACCTGGGTCTGATCCTCGGGTTTCTTGTTGTTGAAGACGTGGAAGCCGCCGCTGCACTTGCGTATGAAGTTTCGGAGGTTTTCGTCGCTCTCTGCAACAACGTCGTTTATTGTTTTCCCCTCCAATCGATCCCCATGGGTGAACAGCACGATGGTGTAGTCCCAAACTCTAGGGCCAAACATTGCTTCGATCATAGCCTGGGTGTTTTGATCCTCCTGGGTCATCCGTCCTACAGGGACAACAAGCACGAAGGCGTGAGGTCCTGGCTCCTGGAGTTTGACACACTTCAGAATCTTTTGCACAATTTCTTCCCTCTTGCTGTCTTTTTCAAACAGGCCAGGGGTGTCAATGATTGCGACAGGAACATCCTCAACTGTCCCAGTCTCATCCACAAGCACGTCCTTGACAATCCCTTCCCCCTTTTCACAGTGTGGAGTGACTCTCACCACCCTCATGTCTGATTTGAACTCATATCTCCCGAGGATGGTGTTCCCACTGCAGCTCTTGCCAACCCCGCCTTTCCCAAAAAGCATGATCCTCAAAGGCTCTGTGAAATCAACAGATAGGAAACAATTCAAACGTGAGACTTTTCTGATTTCATATGCCTGCATTTCCTTAAACACCGACACAATCATTTCTACAAAGAACTTAGACCTACTCTGAGTTATGGTAAAAAAAAGTGTGACTGATAAACTGGAGTTCAAAATATTCTGACAGCAATATTTATACAACCATGAACATTAATTCACAAAAAACTTGGAGAGGAATTGTCTGTATTTCTTGTTTTTAGACTCTGATAGCTGAAACTAAAACTATCTGTAATGAAGGTAATGAAACTAAACTCAGTTGGGACACTAGTCTGTTGCTTTTCACTGGATTCACTCAGGTGTGTCGGCCAGAACACCACTACAGGCCTTATTCCAGAATATGAATAAAGAGAGTGCAGAATCGGTTGAATGTCTGTTTACTTCTTCTCTTGTAGTGAAACAAAAATACAGGCATTTCAGTGGCCATGCAATATGACAGAGTATTGGGTCTTGTTGTGGTTTTCTATAAGAAAAAGAATAGCAGAATATACACAACTCTGAATGCTTCATCTTACCTCTATAAAAACATACAAAACACTATACAGTAATATAATAGGTTATAATATGTAAATAAATAAAGGTCAGCTACATGTCTCTTTAACCTAAAGTATTAAACACAGAAAGGCTATCATAGGTTTAACAGTCTTACAATCATTCCCCTATAAAAAATACGACGATGCTTTTATTGTGAAGCACGGACATCAAATTATCCTCCTCATGCAGAGAGCAACACAGTTAGCAAACCTTGTAACTAACAGGCAACTAAAATAACACTGTTATTAAGACGGGCAAGAATTAGCACTAGGTAGCATGGGCGGTTCTAGGCAGGGGCCTAGACACTGAGCTTGGTCCCCCCCTGTGGCCACCCCTCCAAAAGGAAGAACCCCCCCCCCCCCCTAGTATTTGACTCAACAACCGGACTCACAATCTAGTATTAAATTCTGTTACTGAAACAAATTTTAAATCATGGTATTTTATGGTGCACGCTATTATTTGGCATAATATATATATTTTAAAGCGATCATCTTTTTTTCACCAGGGTTTAATGTTCCCCTCTGACAAAACAACTGGCTCCTGTTTGGCCCCCTCAGTAAAAGTGGTCTAGAACCGCCACTGCAAGGTAGGCTAAGCACAAACATGTAATGAATTTGACATGACTCTTATTCAACTTCTGTGTAGCTCCAACTGAGCCGGGGGACATTTAGCAAGCATGTGACGTAGACAAATTAGCATATCTAGAATACGCCGAACATCTAAACTCTAAAATCTAAACTCCAGCTCCGCGGGAGTTAACAACTTTGCCTCAACATTAAAGAACACACAATATCACATATAAGACGAAGTGCAATATATTTATTCCATACCTGTCACCTGCAAATTAATTGTATATTGTATACTATATTGTATTATTTAATTGTATTTCTTATTTGAATATTTGGTTTTAGTATTTGTATATTTCTGATATTAGGCATCTACAGGCTTGCTCCAACAATATTTCGTTGTACTTGTACAGTGACAATAAACACATCTTATCTTATCTTATCATCTGTCATCGACTGATGCACACTGCTCATTACTACATGATGTAATTCGCTATATGACCAGCAGGTGACACCTCTCCCCTATTGAGCACAATATCATCACATTAAACAGAACAGGAATCAAACACTATATTAACATAAAGCAAAAACCTTAACATGTAACTTTGGGGCCTTTTCTACACTATCTGTCTCTAGTTTGTATTAAATTAAAAACGAAAAATAAATATAATAAAAATAAAAATAAATAAATAAAATGAAAAACTACCACATTGAATCGACTCTCAGATGGCAGCTCACAGAGCTATAACTCGTTTGCAGCCCTCATGTCACTGAAGGACATGAGGTGATAGGACATGCTGTACCCTGACTGGTCTATAGGCAGTGAAGGGTTAAAGTTTTAGTATTATGTTTTACTTGGTTTGCCTTCACAGTGGCCCCAGACTGAGTGTGCACGAAAAAACCACAGATAGCCTATAAAACAAATCTAAGATACAATACGTGCTTTTCCTCTGTGACCTGCCTGGCAGTGCCTTTTAAGGCTTTGTGTTAGCACTTATCATTGTCTCCTCCTCTCTAGATCCTTGCTTGATTTGTAGTGCTACTAATTCTCAGATGTCGATGATTTTGACAAAATCATCTGCTTAAAGAATTGTAGAAAAACAAAAACTCATGTAAAACCACTTTCTGTTTCACTCGATTTCCTTTATAAGACAAGCATGCAGCAGCTCATGTGCTTAATACAAGTGAGAGATATGAAACGTAAAACTACAGCTGTAAGTAAAAAAAAAAAGTTTGGTTGCTCAGTGACACAAAGTGAAATCTTTAAAAACATAGTTTAGTTTGATTTAAAGAATTTGGTATTTTTAATCAGCTCAAAAGAGTGAGACTGACTCAAACACTTGCATTAACACTTCTTGTCCATTCTTACCTTGTTTTGGATCCTCCTCTTGCTCTGCATCGGTCATGCTTCCAGAGTTCATGGCAAACAAAGATCTATTGTGTTGCGCAAACCAAAAACTTCCACGTCTTTGTCACAGTCGTGTTTGAAGCAGTTTATGAGAAAAAGTTTTGGTTAGACTTGTTTGTTCTGATTAGTCCCCTCCCAGCTTCTGTAACGTAAAAGTGAAAGTATGCAGAGGGGGAAAAAAGGGAAGGACTAGTGCTCAATAGCTTCAGTTGTGGTAGGAAATTAACCCAAAGGCTGCGAAAGCAGAGATAGTGAAGTTCCAAAACATCTTCATAAAAAAAAGACAAAAAGACAAAAAGACAAAGCTTCAATGACAAGGGAGAGGCTGTCTTATCCAAACATTAAAAAGTACAAAACCATCGAGGTCAAGAAAAAGAAAAAAGAGAAGGAAACAGGTCACATGGTAATGCTCACCAAACCTCAAAGAAATAACTGGTCCTGATTTGAGACAGTGTTATACAAAGACCAAAGAAGAAGCCCTCCCCGCCTAAGGGTTGATACCAGAATTCTCACCTCATATACAGGAATCTTTTCAGTCAGACAGTCCATAGTGAATGGACAGAGGCACAGCTAGAGACTTCAGGTGAAGCTCAGTGCAGGTCAGAGGTGGATCAATCCTGATTGTTACCCTGAAGTATGTCCAAGAGGCTGTTTTAGCCCTGAAGACCAGTATCACTACTATTATATTACACTATAACACAGCTAATAGTAGCAAAAAGTATAGCAGAAAAAAACACACTGCATTATGTTATCATCTTTATTATAACTATACTGTCATTACACAAATCCTGTATCAAATCATTGTTCTTTATCCACTCTGATCCTGTATTTGATCAGGCCTATAAACATCTATAAACATCTAGCGCTAAAACACCTTTTCAGGGTTTTCTTTGAACGCCACCACATTCTCTAGTGAGGCTATCAAACTAAAATATAAGCATTATAGGTCACACTTGTGGTTAGGGGACATAGACATATACTATAACAAACAAACATCCATAACACAAATGACCCATACAAAAAAAATGCATACATCGGCCATAGTACCAAATACTTGTGCCAAAAATTCTATGACTTGTGTCTCACTTTTGGAACCTGTTGGTTGTGTGGTTCTCTTTTTCCTGTCACATATTTTGTACCATCTAAGGTCCAAACTGCATTCATTAAAGAAATCTGATTGATTGAAATTTCCATACATTTGGGTGACGATTTCTCATTAAGGAATTGGTGGTGGCTCCTGAATTGAGAACGACTGACTCAGAGGCCCAATAAATCTAAATGGATGAATTATTTCAAAATGTAGCCCTGTATAGTTGTCATGAATAGAGAAATCAGCTATTAGTTTTACTACAAGGCTATAAGGTCTAATGGGGGGGACTCTGCTTTGGAGCCAGCATGTAGAGGCTACTTAAAGAGCATCAGGATTTGGAAATTCTGCATTTGAGGTTGACTCTTCTTCTGGATGATAAAAACATAAAATGATTGCTATTACTATTACTAATACACATAATGTGCGAATTAGAATGTTCCAATTGTCGGGGATCCTCTTTCTCTGCTTCTCTGCAGCCAGCCTTGCATTTTCCTCTTCTTTCCTCCACAGCGCCCTCTTCTTCATCTCCAGCTCTTTGTCCTTGTGATGCTCCTCCAGCTCTCTCTCCTTGCGCCTGATCTCATCATCTCTCTCTGCCAGGATGGCCTCCTGTCTCTTCCTGATCTTCCTCTCTTCTTCAGGATACAGGTCGTTGTGGTAATGCCCCCCTCCATTCAGGGCTACCAGGGTCTGAATCTTTTCTATGAGTCTTGTCACCTGGGTCTGCTCCTCGGGTTTGTTGTTGTTGAAGACGCAGAAGCCGCCGCTGCATTTGCGTATGAAGTTGCGGAACTTGTCGTCGCTCTCGGCAACAACGTCTCTTATTGTTTTCCCCTCCAATCGATCCCCATGGGTGAACAGCACGACGGTGTGGTCCCAAACTCGAGGGCCAAACTTTGCCTCGATCAGCGTCTGGGTATCTCGATCCTCCTGGGTCATCCGTCCTACAGGGACTACAAACACGAAGGCGTGAGGTCCTGGCTCCTGGAGTTTGACACGCTTGAGAATCTCTCGCATTATTTCCTCCTTACGATCCAGCTCAAAAAAGCCGGGTGTGTCAATAACAGAGACAGGAACATCCTCAACTTTCCCATTCTCATCCACAGGCACATCCTTCACAGTCCCGTCCCCCTTTTCACAGTGTAGAGTGACTCTCACCACCCTCATGTCTGATTTAAACTCATGTCTCCCGAGGATGGTGTTCCCACTTGAGCTCTTGCCGGCTCCACTCTTCCCAAGAAGCACGATCCTTAGAGGCTCTGTGAATTCAAAAGATAGGAAACATTTTACTTAACACAATGATCTTTCTCTCTTTATTGATGTTCTTAACCTTGACCACCATTGTTCTCATTTCTCATATGTGCTGCTATGACTTCCATTTTGTCAACAAGGTCTATTGCCATCATTGGTGTCATATCGCCTCTTTAAAAACCAATGGGGAGCGTCACTGAGACTACGTTCATGTTTAATACAGTCTAAGGGACAAACACACGGTTGGAGGTTTCCCAAAATGTTTAACAAAGCAATGATTTATAACTCAACTATATATAATGCTAACCGGTAAATAGAAATTGTGGCTGAGTTGTTCACATAATCATAAGGCATTAAAAAATTTGAATTCAGTGGACGCCTTCTTTCAGACAGGATCCAAAGAAAAAACTGGAGCACACAGATCACTTAAGGCAAATTTTATATAGGTGCAAAGGACTAACATTTCGATGCTCTGCGTCTTCCTCAGAGTCTGGATTTTTAATCCTAAAAATACATTATACCTTCATTGATGCAATTCTAGTCAATCATTTATATGCATACACACATCTGCTCGGGGCCCTGCGTCTTTTTAAATACACAAGCAGTCCAAACTGGTTTAAGCTGCCATGTGTTTTAGACATCACAGGAAGTGATAGCACATGGTGTAGCCTGCATTTGATGTTAGACGAGTGAAACATGTTACATGAGAGGTTACTGTCTGTAACCAGTAGGTGGCGTCATTACAAACATTGAATATTGGTATGTAGCCTAAATACGTTCAGACATGAACTCTGATCAACATTGTGAAATGAAAGGAAGCTGTGTGTTTGACTTCATCCTCTTTCATGAGCAGACATTATTCTCTCTCTCCGACTCTCTGACAGCCAATCACAACATCATCATACAAAAGCACGCAAAGGACCCCGAGCAGATCTGATCACCCGAACACATCTCTATAGTAATGTGAACGCAGACCAGTTCTCCTAACCGGGGGGTTTAGGAGGGGAGGGGGGCAATCGTTCACGGTTAAAATGTGAAAACCCACCATGAAAAAAAGTTAAGGTTCCGTTCATTTTGAAAGACTTTTCCACTTGAAGCATCTAAAATCAGAGAGACTAACTCAGAGATTTAGACAGTAAGTTAACACTTGTTTTCCACAATTACCTTTCTTCTGATCTTCTTGGCCTGCAGCAGGTAGGGTTTCGGCGTCCATGGCAGACATAGATCGAGCTGTTGTGTCACCAAGCAGTCTCCTAAATACACAGTGCAATGTCAGGGGTTGAAACAGTTTGCGACCGAGTTTGACAGTTTGCTGATCAGTCCCCTCCCCAGTGTCCTTTTTTTGCTGACGCTCAAATGCGAAAGTGAAAGTATAAAACTGTTTTATGAGGCGTTTGGAACAAATAGATGACCCGTTGCTCTACAGTTTAAGGTTTCACAAGTTTGAAGGGCTTGAATAATGTTCTTTACAACTTGGACTACGATTCCAAATAATGTAATTTAAAGTATGAATATAGAAATACTGTATCTTACTGTGTCAAAAGATTTCTAACTTGGTGGTTGACCTCCTGTACTGAAGTTAAACCACATTTAGAAATCTGACATTTGGTCAAACTCTGATACGTTGGTGAACTACAAAAGGAAATAGAAACTATTTAATGTGTTTGCGTTTCCTTGTACCAGTCCAGGGGTATGAAAACTTCAGCTGTTCAAAAGCTCCATCTAGTGGCAGTACTCTGGAAGTGCCTTGGCACCTCGAGCTACCAGACCAACTTACATATTTTGGTCCGTACCAGGACTTGATCTGGTGACCCCCCCGGTTCTGATCTCAGGTTCCTACTGAGATTCCTACTGAATCTTTTCTATGAGTCTTGTCACCTGGGTCTGCTCCACGGGTTTCTTGTTGTTGAAGACGTGGAAGCAAGTTTGTATAAAACTACTGTTAGACCATAGACTGTAAATAAATATGAGACATCCAAAAGAAATCAATATTACAATGCATACAGTTCATGTTACTGTTCTGACAAAAAGAGGAATGTCTGTGTCTTATATTTACTGATGTCAACAGCGATGTGGGTGAACATGACAATTGAAAAATAATTATTTAGTATTTATTACAAGACATTTGTTTTCTATTGAACCCCGTAAAGTCATGAAGTCTGTGGACAGTGTCAGCTTCACACCAAAAACTTTAAGTATTAGAAAAAATAGTGTTTAAGACTGGCATCTATTATTCGAAGTTGCAGCTACCTTGTTCAATATTATTCCTGCAGATGTGGCTAATAACAAAAAAACACCCTGAGCTGTCACAGGTAGTTAACTGTACATTTTGTCTTGTCTGAGGCATTAATTGAACACCTTTGTATTTCTCCTATAGACACAGTGTGGATTATTGGTGACTGGTCCGTTGAGGTGCCCAGAGAGCTGCAGAGACAGAGGAAGAAACCTGAGCCTCAACAACATCTGCATTTGTTGGTTCTTCTGGGGTGGACTTCGGTTGCTTCCCTTCTTCAATAACGTGCTGCGAGGGAGGTCTCCCCCGGATGGCCTGAGTGATGACACCCACAGACTGAGAGCTGGAGCTGAGGTGGGTTTTAAGCCTCTTGACAAACCGTTACACCGCACCCGCCTGTCAAGCTGGTCAGCTACACGCCTTATTGTGAATAACTCTTATCCTTCATCAAATCAAACGACCCCCGTACAGTGTGTCGATCGAGACATAAGCTAATCAGACCTATTTGTTTGTTTTGTACCAGGCTGTAAACATGTTAATCTCTGCTGTAAAAACAGACATGTGGTTTTTCAGATTAAATAAATATTTCTATAGAAATGCACTCCTTTATGTCTACTTATGAGTATACATTTCAGATTTGAAATGAAAAGACTAAAATGTGCATTAATGCTCAACTCAATAGCTAAGGGAAGGAAGTCTACTTTTACACAACTTGTTATTCTTTTGACATTTTTTTTTATCAAATACTAATGCAGTTCATTTCTGAAAGTGGGATGAAACAGAGTCATTGCAAAAATATACCCTTAAACACAGCCCCATTCTTAAATCAAGATACACCGAGAGTAAATAAGATCAAAAACACAGTTAAAAATGATTTAGAAATGTAGTCTTCCCTGATCAATATCACATAATATCAACTTCTCCCATCTAAACTGGACAAAGGGTTTTAAAATGGGAAGAAAATGGTTTGATTGCAAGTTGTTTGGAGGAGATCTAGTTTTATTTGAACAGCATGAATACAGTCTTCCAAGGTGCAAACCCTCCTCCTCCTTCTCCTGAAGCCTGTGGAGCTCCTTGATGTACTGCCGTCTTATCTGCTGGCCATCTTCTCTCAGCAGAACTTCGACTTTTGAAAAGTAATTCAGAAGAAGCTTGAGCATGTGACATGGATCCAGGAGAAGATGGACTTGTAGTGAGGGGTCTTCAGGATGGCAAAGAAAGAGAGAAAATATCAGTTATTCATTAAATCACTTTTTTGTGCATTTTCTGTATTCATCTGTGTGTAAGAGCACATTTATAAATTCAACAGTGTACTACCCAGACAACAAAGGTACAGTATTCAGGTAATCAACATCTATTCAAAGTTAAGAAGACAAACATTATTGTAATCATGCTATTTTCAGCTCTCTCACTCACTCACACGATGATATTCCACATCAAATTGTCTCAGATTTTGTGTGAGGAAAAATTAAGCAATTTATTGTGGATAGTACTTCATCTTAACATGAAACAAATATAGAATCGCTCGTGGGCCACAGGTTTTTTTTTTAAATATAGTTGAAAAAATAGTAAGGCTTTGTAAATCAAAACCTTTCTGTGTTTTAACCTCTCTCCATTTTTTTTAAAAGCTTCTCAAATATTGATCCTAGTTTTAAGCACGTTTCTGCTTGTGGAGCTTATTAGAAACATGCAGAGGCTTTTTAGGTCGGGCACAATCACGTCTATCTGAACCAGTTCTCTTGCCCGCTTCCATCGCTGCAACACCTGTTGGTTTGACCTGATAACTGCTCTCATATCTGGCAAACCGAGGGGCGTCCAAAACGGCCGTGTGGGGGGTGCCTTAAAACCGCCTACCTTTTCTGAGTCCAAACAAATCCAGAGCATTCAGGACCAGAATCTAAAGTTAGAAGGAGGACATACTGGCTGCTGCATTGTTGTCATAGCAACCAGCACTTCAACATGTTTCCTTAATGTCTGATCATATAGTAAGGTCACTTTATCATTTCACTCTCTACACATCTCACTGATTGACCCTTTAAGCCCTCTCACTAGTATATAAAAAAAAAAAAACCCACCTCAAATATGTAATTCAAGACTTTTTAAGACTACACATGATCCACATGAACCCTGATAGAAATGAGTCTAAGGTCTGAAGGGTTTGTTTTCTACTCACCCCCGCCTCGTAAAGAGGGTTGTTGAAATCGGACTCGACTGTGATGGGACTGTAGGAGTGTGTGTTAGAAAGAGACTTCCAGAAGAGCGGCTTCCACTCTAGTCTGCATATGCTGAGCGAGAGAGAGAGCCAATAGAGCGACAGATAAAGAATCCAGAGTGCACAGTGCAGGGGAAGAAAACACACACAGAACAGTGACGTCACACTCACTTTGTATAGCACATGTAAATTCCTCCGATCAGCAGGATGACCAGGATGATCGGCAAAATGATAGCCGAGGCGATGTTCTCACTCAGGATCTGATGAGACGGCTCGAACGACTGAGACACTGAGAGAGGATAAAAATAAAAAACATCATCACTGAAGAACATTTTCATCACATCAAAGAACTCGACTTCAGAAACCCGAAGAGAGAAGAGAGAAGGTTTGGAGCGTTGGTTGTCCTCTGAAAGTAACGCTATGTATCCCCGAAATGCAATATGCACATAACCACATAACAGCAGTGTAGAGCTGTATGGTGATGAGACCGCAAACGACAGCAACGGAGGCGCTACAACAATGTCGGAAAGTTTAGAAGAAAAGTAAATAGACCGAGTCCGCAACCACCCGCACCATGATGTCTCAGCGCCGTTGCAAGTATGTGAAAGTTTACGATGCAGCAGGTTGTCAAAGCAGGTATAATTGATCTGGTGTAAAAAAAAAAAAAATACACAAAACATGCAGCTTTATCTCAGTGTAATTCATCAAACCACCACTAGATGGTGCCAATATTCACAAGTCAGTGCTACATGAAGTCGTTTCAAACACTCGGCGTAACAAACTTTTAATGACTTTAGCGACGTCGCAAACAGAAGAGGAGAAAAATAAATCACTCTTCCAATTTGTGGTCATCCAGAAGCTCCTCGTAAGTCACTGTGAGAGAGACGAGACACAAAGTCTGTTAACGCTGATCTATGACTGAAGACAGGTAACAGCAGAACACCTGCGAGAGAGAAATACAACGCTGCTAATCTGACAGTGAAGAGACTTCATGAGACATGTTCTGGTTCTGCTCCCTGATTAAAAACAGTCACAACATGTTATAATAATTATGACATAATGGTAACTTTTACCAGTGTCTCGTCCGTGGCAGGAGATCTGGCTTGGACCCTCCAGTTGGTAACCTTGGTTACAAGAGAAAGAACGACCGTACCGACGGCAAAACCAGCCTCAGGGCGCACTGAGCGTGCTCCGTTGACCACCTCTCCTGGATTAGGACACTGCTGGCATGTGAGGGACAGAGAGGGACAGACATGACGGCATTTATCTCCACCCTGTTGACTATATTCTAAGTTCATAGATAAACCTTGACTCTATATTTATCTAACCTTTACCTACTGTAAGATTATTTTTCCACTGCACAGCTCCCACATTGCACCTTTTTAACATTTTATGTTTTATATTTTTAAATTCTATTTTATATATTGTAATATGTTATTATACTGTATTATTTAAGTTGTTGCTAGCTTTAAAAAACTGTAAAGTGGTTCTGTACAGAGTACATGCTTTAACTTTCTGTCTGGCGCAGCCATCTTTAAAGTCTGATCCCACTGGCAGGTGATGATGTCGGAGCTATTTACAGTCTCAAATCAGGGCCAGTTATCTCTTTGAGGTTTGGTGAGCATTACCATGTGGCCTGTTTTCTTACTTCTCTTTTTTTCTTTTTCTGGACCTCGATGGTTTTGTACTTTTTAATGTTTGGATAAGACAGCCTCTCCCTTGTCATTGAAGCTTTGTCTTTTTGTCTTTTTGTCTTTTTGTCTTTTTTTTTATGAAGATGTTTTGGAACTTCACTATCTCTGCTTTCACAGCCTTTGGGTTAATTTCCGACGACAACTGAAGCTATTGAGCACTAGTTCTTCCCTTTTCTTTTTTTTTTCCTCTGCATACTTTGACTTCTACTTTACAGAAGCTGGGAGGGGACCAATCAGAACAAACAAGTCTAACTAGAACCTTTTCTCATAAACTGCTTCAAACACGACTGTCATAAAGACGTGGAAGTTTTTGGCTTGCGTAACACAATAGATCTGTGTTTGCCATGAACTCTGGAAGCATGACCGATGCAGAGCAACAGGAGGATCCAAAACAAGGTAAGAATGGACAAGAAGTGTTAATGCAAGTGTTTGAGTCAGTCTCTCTCTTCTGAGCTGATTAAAAATACCAAATTCTAAATCAAAATCAAACTAAACAATATTTTAAAAGATTTCACTTTGTGTCACTGAGCAACCTTCACTGCCTATAGACCAGTCAGGGTACAGCATGTCCTAGCCGCAAACGAGTTATCGCTCTGTGAGCTGCCATCTGAGAGTCGATTCAATGTGGTAGTTTTTCATAGAATTTAATTCAAACTAGAGACAGATAGTTTTAGTTTCAGCTATCAGAGTCTAAAAACAAGAATAACAGACAATTCCTCTCTAAGTTTTTTGTGAATTAATGTTCATGGTTGTATAAATATTGCTGTCAGAATATTTTGAACTCCAGTTTATCAGTCACACTTTTTTTTTTTTTTTTTTACCATAAATCAGAGTAGGTTTAAGTTCTTTGTAGAAATGATTGCGTTGGTGTTTAAGAAAATGCAGGCATATGAAATCAGAAAAGTCTCACGCTTGAATTGTTTCCTATCTGTTGATTTCACAGAGCCTTTGAGGATCATGCTTTTTGGGAAAGGCGGGGTTGGCAAGAGCTGCAGTGGGAACACCATCCTCGGGAGACATGAGTTCAAATCAGACATGAGGGTGGTGAGAGTCACTCCACACTGTGAAAAGGGGGAAGGGATTGTCAAGGACGTGCTTGTGGATGAGGCTGGGACAGTTAAGGATGTTCCTGTCGCAATCATTGACACCCCTGGCCTGTTTGAAAAAGACAGCAAGAGGGAAGAAATTGTGCGAAAGATTCTCAAGCGTGTCAAACTCCAGGAGCCAGGACCTCACGCCTTCGTGCTTGTTGTCCCTGTAGGACGGATGACCCAGGAGGATCAAAACACCCAGGCTATGATCGAAGCAATGTTTGGCCCTAGAGTTTGGGACTACACCATCGTGCTGTTCACCCATGGGGATCGATTGGATGGGAAAACAATAAAAGACGTTGTTGCAGAGAGCGACGAAAACCTCCGAAACTTCATACGCAAGTGCAGCGGCGGCTTCCACGTCTTCAACAACAAGAAACCCGAGGATCAGACCCAGGTGACAAGACTCATCGAAAAGATTCAGACCCTGGTAGCCCTGAATGGAGGGGGGCATTACCACAACGACCTTTATCCTGAAGAAGAGAGGAAGATCAGGAAGAGACAGGAGGACATCCTGGCAGAGAGAGATACTGAATCAGGCGCAAGGAGAGACAGCTGGAGGAGCATCACAAGGACAAAGAGCTGGAGATGAAGAAGAGGGAGCTGTGGAGGAAAGAAGAGGACAATTCAAGGCTGGCTGCAGAGAAGGAGACCAAGAGGAAGTCCCACATAAAGATCATTGTGGGCTCCGTCATCCTGGTGTTACTTCTGAGTGGTTGGGCTCTCAAGCACCAAAAATGTCGCCATTAGTTTGGCTTTCCAAGAAAAAATGATAGTTGAGATATCAATGCACCGTTAGTAATCAGTCATGCCATGTATTACTGAAGTCTAGAACAGATCTTCAACAACATTAATGTAAGAAATGCACCAGCCTGAAAAACGTTTTTTTGTCTAATCATGAACTCAATGCAAATAATCATGATTAAAATCATATGAACTGTTCACTTCTGTAAACCTCAATGACTGGGCTGTTTTTATGACAAGCTTTACAATTGAGTGCATTACCTTGTAAGACCAGTAAAATCAATAAAAACATTCTTCTTCAACTTTCAATTTATAAGGTTTTGTCTGACTGGTTTAGAAAGCAATGAGGGCTGAGTTACATGACATCACCATCCTCATTTACGCACAGCCTGCTCCGGTCCCTCCTCAGCGGACCAAACATTTGGACGATGACCACTTGATTTGTGTGAGAAAGACTACTGTAAACTTGTATAACATTCAGCGGAACTCGATTATTTTCACAGACCAAGGACTGCAGATTAAACCTAACATTTAATGAAGGTGAGATGGCGGCAATAGCTCTGTCTGTAGGAACCGGAGGGTCACCAGATCAAGTCCTGGTATGGACCAAAATATGTAAGTTGGTCTGGTAGCTAGAGGTGCCAAGGCACTTCCAGAGTACTGCCACTAGATGGAGCTTTTGAACAGCTGAAGTCTTCATACCCCTGGACTGGTACAAGGAAATGCAAACACATTAAATAGTTTCTATTTCTTTTTATAGTTCACCAACGTATCAGAGTTTGACCAAATGTCAGATTTCTAAATGTGGTTTAACTTCAGTACAGGAGGTCAACCACCAAGTTAGAAATCTTTTGACACAGTAAGATACAGTATTTCTTTATTCATACTTTAAATTACATTATTTGGAATCGTAGTCCAATTTTTAAAGAACATTGTTCAAGCCCTTCAAACTTGTGAAACCTTAAACTGTAAAGCAATGGGTCATCTATTTGTTCCAAATCCAGAAAAAAAGGACACCGGGGAGGGGACTGATCAGCAGACAGAAACGTCTGCCATGGACGCCGAAACCCTACCTGTTGCAGGCCAAGAAGATCAGAAGAAAGGTAATTGTGGAAAACAAGTGTTAACTTACTGTCTAAATCTCTGAGTTAGTCTCAGTCTTTCAAAATAAACAGAACCTTAACTTTTTTTTCATGGGTTTTCACATTTTAACCATGTGCCTGTGGATGAGAATGGGAAAGTTGAGGATGTTCCTGTCTCTGTTATTGACACACCCGGCTTTTTTGAGCTGGATCGTAAGGAGGAAATAATGCGAGAGATTCTCAAGCGTGTCAAACTCCAGGAGCCAGGACCTCACGCCTTCGTGTTTGTAGTCCCTGTAGGACGGATGACCCAGGAGGATCGAGATACCCAGGCGCTGATTGAGGCAAAGTTTGGCCCTCGAGTTTGGGACCACACCTGTTCCCAGTTGCCTTCTTTTTTCATTTGCCAGCCTCTTTTTTACATACAAGCCTATGGAAAATGGAAAAAGTATGACGTCTTTTTAAAAAAGCGCTGCGCCTGATGCCTTTTTCAGTTGAATTATTTCAACTTTTCAGAAAAGCGCTGACCAATCAGGACGAGTATTAACCTACGTCCATATTTACCGTTGCCCAAAAAGATGTAGTATGCCATTTCTGAATAGCCACAGTTCAGTAGGCAGTACGTACTATTCAGTAGGGAGTTTCAGTATACTGAATTTTCGTGGTCATTCAGTATGCATTTTTTGGGTCCACCTCAGTATATTGAACATTTCAGTATGGATACTAACTTCCGGGTTTTATGCAGTATGGATCGGATGCGTGCTTTCAGGAAATTAATTGTATTTTACCACCCACAATGCAGTGCGAAATTAAACGTAAATCGTCACGTCACGTCCGCCTCCAAATCCAAACAAACATGGATTAATATAATACATTTTTAATCTACAGTTAAAATCCTGACTGAAATCGCTACTTTTAATTAACAATAGAAAATAAAACAAATGTTTGCATTATTATAAAACCTTTCCCCCTCTATCTAAATAATGATTTGACTATTCAAATGGGTCTTTATTGGTTTATTTTACTTTATATTTTGTATATTACTGTCTTTCATTAGTACTTTTCTTTATGTAGGCTACTGTATGTTATTTAGTTATTTAATCTGCCTTTTACTTGATTTACATTGTGATATTGTTTTTTGTTTCCCTGACTGTATATGAGCATTACTCTTCTTGAAAAAAGCTAAACAAAGTGCAAATTGACAGATAGTTTACAGACTTCGAGAGAAATGAGAGGCTGGAGTAAATTCAAATGCTTTACTGGTGTCATCATACTCATGAAGCTTCTATCATTGTAAAACTGAAAAATACAAAATAAAACAAGCACAAATTAAAGGATGCTATCTTAAACATTAGCATTTTTAGCTTGTAAATTATCTGTCTTTAAACTATACAAAATGCATCAAATATATCAAATAGATTGTATGTATAAATATAAAGATCTGTTCTTGCGAATTAACTTACAAGGGATGCTTTCCAAGGCACACAGACAGGAAGGAAAGAAACAGCTGGCCTGTCCACAAAATAAATGAAGCCCCTCCTAACTAGAGTCTCATAACTGAGTCACATGACTTAAAATGACCAATCAGAAAATACAGTGAAAAATAAAGAGCAACAATTAAATTATCTCAAATGACCAGCAGGGGGAAACAGAATTAAAATGAATTGAAACATTCCTGCTATACATGAAAGAAAGTGTATAAAACTGTTTTATGGGGGATTTGGAACAAATAAATGACTCATTGCGCTACAGCTTAAGGTTTCACAAGTTTGAAGGGCTTGAACAATGTTCTTTCAAAATTGGCC